CAGAGGGAGACCACAGCTGCGATACAAGGATATCTGCAAGCAGGATCTGAAGGCCTTAGGAATGGACCTCAACAGATGGGAAACCCTGACATCTGAGCGTTCAGCCTGGAGGCAGGCATTGCATCACGGCCTCTCCCATTTTGAAGAGACCCATGTCCAGCAGGCCGAGGCAAAGAGGAAGTCACAAAAGCAGCAAAATCAGGGAGCTGGACAGGGGACAGATTTTATTTGTCTTCAGTGTGGAAGGGATTGTCACTCTGAAATTGGCCTCCTCAGCCACACTAGATGTTGTTCCAAGTCCTCCATACAGAGCACATTACCATAGTCTTTCGAGACTGAAGAATGCCTAACTATATCCAATGAGCACAGATTGTCAAAAACATGCAAATTTACTTTTTAAAATAGGAGTCAGCAAGAAATGTGTGTGTTAAATGGCAGAGAAGAAGTGAACCTATGAAAGATGGATATATACAGATATCAATGCCACAGAGTTCAATAACAGGAATTATCACCCACTTGGATAATTTCTGATGTCTGCTGTAGCAAAAAACAGAGTTTCAGGAAACATTTAAAAATAACCAATAAATTTACTACAGCATAAACTTTCATGGACTACAAACCACATCACGTGTGAACTTCACCCTAAGCTGCAGAGAAAATTATTATTATTATCAGCAATACAAAAACTAGATAGTCTGACTAAAGTAGGTTAGCAAACTCCAGCACAGTCTCCAAAAGAAATGTTTGAAGCTTTCATGAAAAGCCATCTGGTGGCCTTTTTTCAAACTAGAGAACTCTTCCAACCTGCTGAACAATAATCCTTGGCAAGAAACCTTCCCCGGTTATGTTGTCTCTTGGATATACCTGGAACTGCCACAGGGGTGACATCTGTTGATTCTGTGACAAGATAAAGGCCATCCATCAAAGCTGTTTTCTGAGAAGCTTCAAACACGGACAAAGTCTCAGCAGGCTGCATGATCTAGGGTGGGTAAGGGAAGAAAGTGAGTGAGAAACAGTGAGTGACACGCAACTGATGACATTTCTAGATTGAACAGGGTGTTCTGCAGCTGCCATTATTAATATATTCTCACTTCCAAGAGATACAGTAGTGTTAAAGAATAAAGAATGGGGCACAGCTAGAATGAACACCTTCTCCCACCTCTAATTGGATTTCTATGTGTCTATTTTAAATTATTTTTACAATTTCTATAGCTGCAGATTTTCTCAGCCCAGAGATACAACAAGCAAAACTTCATCTGCTAACTTCTACTTGCTGGGAAAAACACCTTAGGAACAGGTACAGAAACAAATCAAGAAGGATCTCAAGTATGAGTATATCTTGCTATCACAGGACACTCTCCCTCCTGACTTTTCCTCTAGGCAGGCATTTTCAGGGTTCCAGGCAGCAGCCTGAAGCTGGAGATTTCTATCCCTTCTGATAAAGGCACAGGGGCCAAGCCAGAACAGGATGACAGCTGCTGGCACACAGCTGGTGGCTGCACAACCACCACTACATGTGTTAAGTCCTCTCCTTTGAAACCAAGTGGGAAAGATAGCACACCTGGTGACTAAGTGCTATATCTAGCCATGGAACGCTAACCAGGAAAGAACCAACCCCTGTTCAGCTGCTGCAGTGCTTAGTAGAGGAATCACAGCATATGCAGGCATATCTAGCGATACTGGATTGGAAAATCTAGATATAATGGATAACTATAAGACACTTGCCCCCCTCCCCCTCCCGCTTGCCTTTAACGACACTGTTCTGGGGTGGGGGAAAGAGGGGAGAGAAAGAAAGACGGACACAGACAGACATGATCATGTTGGACTACAACTCCCACCGCGACCGACCATTACTCATGCTGCCTGGGATTGTGGGAATTGTAGTTCAACAGTGTCTGCGGACACACCGTCCGGAACACCTTCCCCGGAAGAATGATTTCCCAAGAAAACGCCTAAGCCTGGCGGTAACCCATACATTTCAGACGGATTCTCCGCGCGTGGGCTTCGGGGGAAAGGGAAGCGCCTACCGGGCCAGAGAACAGACACGTTCACGGCGGGGCAGCCAAACGCGATTCCACGAGGATCCCAGGCGAGCCAGCCTTTGCCGTTTACGTCACTTCCTCCCGTCACAGGCATCCCAGAAGAGACGGACGGACCTGCTCACCCCACCGCCGCTTTCCTATTGGCCCGCCTTCATTCCGCCCCTTTCCCCCTCCTCTCGGCAGCGGATTGCGCCGGGCGCGAGCGAGGGGGTGGGAAGAAGAGTGAATGACAGCCGCGTTGCTGTGGGCATAGTCCGGGAAGTCGAGGCGGCGGCGGCGAGTCCCGGGTCCGGTTACCAGGGGCGACCGTCGAGGTGAGTAGCGCGACATCCCTAAAAAGGGGTGCGGGGACGCGCCGGAGCGAAGGCCGCAATAGCTCTACACGGCTGCTTCTGGGTGGGCCTCTCTTTCCCTCCTGTCTTTCCCATGTAAACAACGCCCCGGAAGGCTCCTCCTTCCCCGAGCCGGGCTCAGGCAAAACAAAACACTGCCTCGGAGAGGAGGCGCCTAAGTTCTTCGAGGCCATGTAGTCTAGCCAGACGGGCCTGGCCTTCTGCCTAGCAGCCGCCTCTCCCCTGGACGGGGTGAGATAACAGGGGCAGGCTCCCATAATCCCGTCCCCACTGCCCCCCCGCTCAGCCTGTGGGGGGGGCGACATCGTTCAATCGTGCATGTCGTCTGGCTGGCAACTGGGGTCAAGCAGACCCCCTCCCTTCTCTTTGGATGGTCGTAGAGGAGAGCCAACCTAACTAAAACGGAGTGGGGTAGGGGAGAGCGGTGGAAAAAGCGGTCCTGTATTTGTCTGAAAATGGGAAAGAGACACAAGCTATATGCTGAATGACACCAAGTATCACCGCTTTTCTGGGTGGGGTGGGGTGGACAGCAGCCTTGGTTTCTTGAAGGAAAACCGACAAAGAGTCTTATGGCTCCTTAAAAGTCTTTAAGGGATGTATTATAATATAAATACCTAGGAATTGCAGCACCAAACTGACACCTCCCTATCAATCTCCATGGGGTGTTTTGCTTTGTTCTTTCAGATGCTTTCCTAACAAGAGGAAAAAGCACAGTGGATATCTGAAGCCAGAGAGGCCGCCATGTCACCCAGGTGTCCAGAGCACAGTATTAGCCTGCTGGTATGCTTGCAGCACTAGGGACAGATGGAGCAGGTAAATGTTTCTCTTTTGCTTCGGGAGGGATTTTTTTTGTTATTCTGGGGAACAAAGACTGTTTGTTTGAACTATGGCAGTTACACATCAGGTAGGCTGGGTGTGTCTTCTGTGGGCATCGTTTTAGTATGAGTCAAAGTATGGGTTTATCATAAACAAAGATAAGTCTAAATTGTGGGTATGGGTGTTGTTTTCAAAAGTGGCAAGTACACACTTGTGCCTAGAATGAAGAGGGCATTATTTGATGCGTTACTGTGTTCAGAGGTCAGGGGTAAGTGGAACACTGGTGTTTGTCAATTTCTGATTGACCATCTGGCATATTCTCTTTCTTTGTAAAGTTAAAATACTTCACATGACTATAGAGATTCAAGTGAAGAATAAAAGAGGAGACCACACAAGATGGTGGCTCTTGGTGGCTTACGAGGTAAAATAGCTACATGCTTCTAAAAATTGGATCCTTGAGTAGTTGGTTATGGAACTGGCTAGAAAGAAGTTAATCCTGAATTAATACCAATTGGTGCCCAGGATTTAGTATGAGATGCAAAAGCTGTCAAACCAATTGGAAAGTATAGCCAGAATCCTCTTGTGCAGGAGGATAGGTGTAAATTTTGGAGATGAATTCTCCCAAGTTAAAAAAAATAACTAAACACAAAAATCACTATCATACAATTGAGTATACTGTGGATTATGTCAGCAGCAATTTGTTAATTTCAAAATAATTTGTCTTCAAAAGACATATTTGCATTGTATCTGAAATGATTTGGAAAACTAAGGTGGCTCTTAATGAAAAGGGATGACATACAGTGGTGTCTCAACTCACAACCATAATCCATTCCAGAAGACGGACGTAACTCAAAATGGTCATAAATTGAAGCACCATTTCCCACAGGAATGCATTGAAATGCAATTAATCCGTTCCAGCCGAAGAAAAAAATCACAAAAAAATAATCACTGCAAGACTCATTGGAAATGCAATTAATCCCTTCCAGCCGAAGGGGGGGGGGAAGAAAAGCAATCAAGCGTGCAAGACCCATTGGGAATGCACAGAAAACAAACGGAGCAGATCAGAAATGCAAAGAATACAAAGAAAAAAGCAAGGGAAGCATGCAGGACCCATTGGAATGGGGGGGGAAACCCAAAAAGCAACCCAACCCCCCAAGACCCATCGGAAATGGGGGAAAAAGCCAACAAACAAATAACCCCCAAGACCCATCGGAAATGGGGGGAAACCCCGGAAAAAAGCAACCAACCCTCCCAAGACTCATTGGAAAGGGCGGGACGACAAAAAACCAAACAGACCCCCCAAGACCCATCGGAAATGGGAAAAAACACTCCAAAAAGCAACAAAACCCCCAAGACCCATTGGAAATGGAGGGGGAACCAAAAAGCAAACCCCCCAAGACCATCACAGCACAGAAACATAACCCCCCCAGCTCAAAACCACACTGCAAAAACACCCAGAACAGTTTTTAAAAAGCAGAAAACAGCACCTTACCTTACCAGGCAGCCCGAAGCCTCCCTGCAAACACACACACACACACGCTCACTCAGAAGCAGAAGGAGGCAGTCCCAAGCCTCCGACACTGCTGGGGCGAAAGCTGCAAAGAAGCAGCCTTGTCACCACCTACAGTTAGCAATTTTAATTTCCCACCTTTTCCCCCTGCCTTTTTCTGTTCGTAAGTGGAAGCTCCAGTCACAAGCACAGTGGAAGCAAAACTTTGTGGCCGGAGCTGGTCGTAACTCGAAATGGTCATTAAGTAGGGACGTTCATAAGTCGAGGCACCACTGTACTGTGCTCTACAGACAAATTTAAAGTTAACAGATCATCAGATTCTGCTGATATCTATTTGAGAATTAGAAAATTTTGTGCAGCTGGTCCATATCTTCTTTGATTTTTTGTAGGAAAAAAGAAAAAAAGGTAGCTGTTGTGTAAAACCACATGGGTGTTACAAATCAGTGATAACACTATAAGCTCTCCAAGACAATCCCATTAAGAAATAAGGTAGTTGCACAGTGATAGTTTGGTCTGGAAGTGCCATGACATTCAACTTTATATATTATACTGTGGTGCTAGACATTGTAGAGTTCTATTGAGGACAGGTTTTCAATATTTTCTCCATAAAAATTAATGATAGAGACTTTTTTTCTTTTTCACAGCACCTTTTTATTACAATTATTATTGATTAGTGCTACATTTCTACCTCTCAATTCTGTCACTTGCAGCAGCAGGCTAACACCTTGGATTCACCAGTTTGCCTCTCAGATCTTAGTCTCTGCCTGTGTCTTTTACCCAGGTATATAATTTACAGTGGTGAATTATTGGCTGGAAATTGTGGGATTTTTTCCTACCCCACCCCTGGTAAGGGTAGTTTTTAGTAAAGACTGTCTGGTCCTGGAATGTTGGGGGTTTGTGGGCTTTGAACAACATGCCAATAACTGAAGAAGGGACTGGTTTATGAATACATGTTGTAGTATGTAGGGCTTGTCAAGCTTAAATAGTAGCTGTATCCTTACAAAACCAGTTTGAATCGTTTGGGAGATGCTGGCGTTTTAAAGGTGTTTCCTTGGTTTTGACTGTTTTCTTTATTAATACAATGGTATAAAATTCTTTTATTTCAAATTGTTGAGTGAAGACATTTTATTTTCCCTGCTGAAATTTCTATGTCTTCCTTTGTTTCAAAAAGCAAGGAAATGCCTCAAAAATGGAGGAACCCCACCAACACAAACACTTTGGTTTACTTTACTTTACTTTATTTGGGTTTATACCCTGCCCCTCTAGACAAGGTCTACTCGGGGCGGCTTACAAAAAATGATAAAATGCAATAAAAATATAATTACTAAAAGCTTAATAATACGACCAACTAACTAATGGATATATACATTATCAAGATGGGAAACTAAAGAACGAGACAGTTAATTGACTGGAGTTTAAAGCCAGAAGTTATAGTTGAAATTATACTTTGTTGTACAGAAATTCAGATCATAGATTAACTTTCCCCCATGGTAAACATGGATAGATCGATGCAGCCTTTTTGCACCTTAATATCTACCCCGGTAAACACTACAGTATAATTACTCTGGCTGGCTGCTCTGTATAGTGCATCACTGGGAATATGGAAGAGCTAAAATGAAGCATGTGCTTTTATAGTTACTCTATCTACAAACAGTAGATTTGCTGCACACTTCTCTGCTCAATTGCATAATCTCCCCTAGTCCAGCCCAACTGATCTGTGTTTAGAGATAAGAAGTCTTCTTGTGTATAATGGACTTACACCTAAGTTAGTAAAGGTTTGTATTTTTTTCTCTTTAGGGAATTAAACACAAGCCACCTCTTGTACTGACTTAAGGGTGTAGTTACAGTACAGAAAGTGAACATCAGTGTTTCATGAGGGAAGAGTGATCTGTGGTTTACATTTCATTGCTTTTTGAGGTACAAGTTAAGCCACAACTTCCTACTTTAAACCAAATATTATTTTCTCCTTGAGTGATGTTTTTGTGTTCATTTGCCTTTATTTTTATATGTTGTTTTTAATGATGCTTTCCTGTCAAAAAGATACAATATTCAAGTTTTTATATTCCATTCACTAGAACATGTTTTGTTTCTAGTATATTACATAAAAAGATAAGCTAGATAAAAACTGAAATGGAAGAGAGCTTTTGCATAGACCAGAAGTGGATTTCCTCAGTGTGGAACATTGTACTTTTCTTTGTTCACTGAGGGAAGCCAATAGTTTCCTAAAAATATGTGCCAAGTACATGTGCCTGCTGTTCATGAAGCTGATATTAAATGTGTGTAGGTTTTGTCATAGTACATGCACTAACAGGTTTTTTAGATGTATAACTTCTTTGTAGGCAACAGCTTGTGAACCTGGAGCAATGTAAGGTTGAGTGCTCAGAAGCCATACCAGGGTTGGAGAGGTCTTAATATGAAGCTTAAAAAAATTGCTTTATCTACAAAGGCAGGCAGCCTCAGGGAAAAGGAGGGAGAGATTGCTGTGCCACTTCCCTTCTCTTCATGTTTACTGATCATTCATTGTCTTCAGTTTGTTTCCACTTTCCTTATTCTTCTCCTTCCCTAGTTATTTGCCCTTTTCCCACTTAAAAACTCTTTCCTTTTTCAAGTAAGACTAAAAAGAAGGTCTCCTAGCCTGACTGGTGGCGTCCAGTTATGTCTGATTGTTATTCTTTACTCTGTCATCTCTTGCCTCAGAGTTTGTGTGGTGCTGGATGACACCCTCCTCCATGAAAACATGGCTCACTTTGACACTGAATATCAGAGGCTGGAAGCCTCATACAATGACTCTCCCCCTGGAGAAGAGGACCTGATAGTTCATGTGGCTGAAGGCAGTAAATGTAAGTATGATTGAATTCCCAGTCTGACTACCACGCACCTTGCAGAGCAGTGCTCAAGGTGCCAGTCTTTGGCAAAAATGTAATTTGGTCAGGAACTTGGGAGTTGAAAAATGGGCTTCTGGCCTGCATTCATAGAGAAATGTTTCCTGTGCAACATAATTCTAAACATCTTTGCTCAGAAATGGGCCCCACTAAATTCAGTGGTCTCTAGTGGATGTTTAGTGCAACAGGCTGTTTGTTGCAGCTGGCCTTAGAGGCAAATATGTACAGCTCTTAACTACTTTATAGTGTAAGCCCTCTAACTGAGGGTGATATGTGTAACTTTTGCCATGGTACGTTTCTCTTGGCAGTATCAGACTATCTGCTGTCCTTGTCATTTTGTGAAATCTGCTGTGCTGATTCTTAGACAGTATTTTTTTCTGTTTTTATTTACCTTGTCTCTCTGCTGTAGCTCCCTGGCACCACATTGAGAATCTGGATCTCTTTTTTTCTCGTATATCCTTATCTTGTGGAAGGGCAGGAATGATTATGCCATAGCAGTGGATTGTGGCAGAAAGCATAGGAGAAGGCACTTTATTGCAGTAAATTCAAAATTCCTCAAAATTCCTTCTGGCCTAAGCATTTCAAAGCAGTTCCCATCTCATTCAAATGACATGACTGTCCACCTGACAAGAAGAAAAATTTATTCAGCAGAATGTCATTTTAGACATTTGCAAAAGCAAGAGTTTTCAGTATAAATTTTGGAACAATGAGTAGCATACCCTACTCATTATTGAACCCCTGTAAGTTTGACTGGTATGATGATAAGGCTAACCCTTTCACTGAAAATTTTGTGGTAGAAAGCTACTGATTCTATTCTCCGGTGGGTTACTGCTCAGTGCTTCAGTGTAGTAGGCTGAACCAGGAGAGGAAATGCTTTCTGTAATCTGGAAATGAGTATTTGCTGGAGCAAGGGGTGGGTTCTGCAGCTAATATTCCAAGCAGTTCTCCTTGACTGTGACTCTTACGTCTATAACCTGCATCAGAAGAATGGCTTCACCTGCATGCTCCTCAGTGAGATCTTTGAGTTAATGTAAGTAGAAACACATCCCTATGTTTTGCAGCTAGGGTTTGTGGAAGTACGTTCTCATGTTCCCATTGTCACCTTGTCAAATTAAAAAAGGAGTCATTGCTTTATATTAGGACTGATGACTCCTTTTTGTCCCTAGATCACAGCCTTTCATTTTGATAGGAAATTGAATCTCACCCTTGCACTCTCTGTCTTCCACTGGAATGCAAGATGTCTCTGATATGAAAGACACTTAGGGTTTTGTGTCCTCTGTTGGCCTGACTCAATTGAGGGGGATGGGGATGGAGGAGCATCTCTCTTTCCATGCTGCTTCCTAATGGATGCCCTCTTTTCTCACAGGCAGTTCATCTTTGTTGTGGCCTTCACCACCTTCCTTGTCAGTTGTGTTGACTATGACATCCTCTTTGCAAACAAGCTTGTGAATCACAGCCAGCACTCTAGTGATCCTGTTAAGGTGACCCTGCCAGATGCCTTCCTGCCCCCCAATGAGTGCAGTGCCAGGTAAACCAACAAACAGTGTTCTTCTCTAAATTCAGCTCCATCCTTTCCATCTTGGTGAGCAGCCAAGAAACCTGGACATGAAAAATCATCTAATTAGGTCATACTCCATGAGTACTGTGTACTAAGAAGTGTAATTCTGTCAAGGCGAACATTGTTAATCTAATTAGAACTTTGCTTTCAGATATTTATTTCTGTATTTGACAAATACGGGGTCTCTAGTGTTAATATAATCCAGTCGTTGAGGTGGACTCTTGTCTAGTTGGCTCAACTTGGTGAGGATGTTTGTAATAATAATAACCACCCAAGGCTTTGTGAGATAAAGTTGCATTCACCTCTGTAACATTACTCCTATTCAACTATTTAATGCTGTGTCTTAGCATTGTGTGATCTTACACCTATCCCCCAACAACTGCCTTCATTTGAAGGGAATAAGGATGGGTTGACACATACCTGTAAGATGCTAGTTGCTTTTTCTTAGCTAAGCATCCATTTCTTTCCTAGGATTCAGGCCAATGGCTTTCTCCTGTCCATCCTGGTGATTGCAGGGGTCTTCTGGATCCATCGGCTGATTAAATTCATCTACAACATTTGCTGCTATTGGGAGATCCACTCTTTTTACATCAGTGCTCTAAAGATTCCCATGGTAAGTGTCGGGGTCAGAGACCGTGAACAGTATAAGGTCAGAGGCAAAAGCAGAGAACGAAAGGCTGTTATTTTTGTCACACAGCTAACTGTACCCTCCCCCTCTCTCTGTAGTCCAATTTGCCCTACTATACATGGCAAGAAGTACAAGCACGAATTGTGCAAATTCAGAAGGAACACCAGATCTGCATTCATAAGAAAGAACTGACAGAGTTGGACATTTACCATCGCATCCTACGTTTCAAGAACTACATGGTTGCTATGGTGAACAAGTCACTACTACCAGTGCGCTTCCACCTTCCCCTGCTGGGAGATACAGTCTTCTATACACGTGGGCTCAAGTACAATTTTGAGCTCATCTTCTTTTGGGGTCCAGGCTCGCTCTTTGAGAACGAATGGAGCCTCAAGGCTGAGTATAAGCGTGGCAGCAACCGCCTGGAGCTTGCTGATAAACTGGGCACCCGCATCCTGTGGATTGGCATTGCTAACTTCCTACTCTGTCCGCTCATCCTCATCTGGCAGATCCTCTATGCTTTCTTCAGCTATACGGAGATCCTCAAGCGAGAACCTGGCAGTCTGGGGGCTCGCTGTTGGTCCCTGTATGGCCGTTGCTACCTGCGGCACTTCAATGAGCTGGATAATGAGTTGCACTCCCGCCTCAGCAAAGGCTACAAGCCAGCCTCTAAGTACATGAACTGTTTCATTTCGCCCCTGCTCACTGTTGTGGCCAAGAATGTGGCCTTCTTTGCTGGCTCCATCCTAGCTGTCCTCATTGCCCTCACGATTTACGACGAGGATGTGCTGGCTGTGGAGCATGTCCTCACTACTATTACCATCCTGGGGGTAGCTGTCACTGTCTGCAGGTAAGTGAGGCAAACTGAGTGAAGTCTTCATTTTTTAGGAGGCAGTATTTTATATTTTGAGGATATCAGCAAAGTGGTGGTTGTTACTACAAATAAGTGTTACAAATGGGATCTGCTGCAGAAAAAAAAGCAAAAGCTGTTAAATGCTGTCCTCTATGCATGTAGTTGCTAGGACAGGGGATGTTCTGGCTGGCTTCTACCAGTGCCACTGAATTTATTGACATGCTGTTGGATTACATCAAGATGGCAGCAAAATATGTCTCATTTAGATGCTAAAAGAAGGTGTTTCAGGAACCATAATCTTGTTTCAGAATAGAGTCATGCTCCCCAAAGCCTAGGAAGTAAGATTCATTCTGAAGCAAGGCATTTGCTTCCAAGCACCTAGTTAGTGTCTACATCTGGTTTTGTTGTTTTGGTTTTGCAAACCAGAAATGAGGTTGCCTATGTGGGTTCATGCTGTAAAGCAGAGAATGGTTAAATATGGGGTGGAAACGATTAGAAATTAGTCCCCAGAATCACTGAAGTTGCCTATCCCATTTTAGAAAGTCATGGACCTGAAGCTGGCTTGAAGTGAAAGAGATGGATTGTTTAGGTCAACCTGGCAAGCCTCTTTCTTACCTTTTGTGATGGTTTGGGGGTCATTTCATTAACCACTTTATGAGGGTCTTTGGGATGTCAGATGATAAAGTCTTTTTTACAGAATGTCACTACTTCAGACATACCTTTATAGAATTTTCTTGCTGGATCAAGTAGGAGTTTTCTGAGGTGGGACATGATTTGTTGCCAACTGGAATAGCTCCATGATCAAAGCAGTCAGTGAACAGCTGATCTATACTACCAAAAGAGAAGGGAAAATACCTGAAAAATCAAATTCCAAGTCAAACAATGACTAGAGGAATGAATAACTCCACAGATTGAATTGAAAGAGATCTCACACTATATTTCAATCTAAAAACACCAAAGTGCCCAGTAGAGGAGGGTCATCAGGCAACACAAAGCTGCAAGCAGGGTCTATGAAAGGCACCAGAGCAGTTGAAAACAAGAATAAGATGTGTATTCCCTATCTGATCAACCTGCTTATGGGACATATATGGAAAACTGAATTAGATTTAGATTATGGAGGAATGAAAATTGGTTGCAGAAACATCAGTACAGTAGTTTAAGGTATGCAAGTGGTAACTTACTGGAAGAAAGTAGCAGTGACTTGAAGCAATGTCTGATGAAGGTGGAAAAAATAAAAGCAGAGTTACAGATGAATATTAAGATAACAAATTATGATTACAGAAGAACTACACAACTTTAATGTTGACAGTAAAAAATGATTAAATCATCCGTTCAGATGGAGACTGCATCTAAGAAATCAGAAGAAAACAGAGACTTGGAAGGATACCAGTTAAGAAATTAGAAAAGTTAATCAAGTATAAGGGCATGTCATTGGAGACTAAGATCACAATAATCCATACTGTCATATTTCCAGTTGCTTTGTACAAATGTAAAAACTGAAGATTGAAAAAAGCTGAGCGGAGAAATGTCAGTTAAAAAAAAGTACTGGAGGAACGTTTTGTGGATAATGTGGACTGCTAGAGATGGATCTTGAATCAAATCAAGGCTGAACTTTCTCTGAAAGCAATAATAACAAAACTGAGGCTGTTATATTTTTGACACATCATGAGAAGACAAGACTCACAGGAATAGATGATAACACTAGGGAGGGAGAAGCTGTAGACAGCAGGAAAAGAGAAAGACCAAATATGAGATGGAATGGTTCAGTAAAGAATACTACATCCTTGAGTTTCAAGAGTTGAGCAGGGCTGTTAATGATAGGACATTTGGAGATCACTCATTTGCAGGGTCACTGTAAGTGTCAGATGACTTGATGGTACATGACAACACTGCCCTCAGCTGCATGGACAGAATATGGAATACTGTATAGCATTATGTGAGAAACTAATAGCCCAAATACAAAGAATTGTTGGACAAAGTTAAGTCACATTTGCTCCAGCAATTTCTTGTTTTAGTTTGCAGTGGAGAATCACAAATCCAAGGTTCTCCATCACATCATGTGAAATTTTGAAAAGATGATTCATTCCCACTCATATTGACTTTTTACAACTTAAACAACAATCTTATGGATATAAATCTAAATGTGTAAACGATCACAATATTAGGATGTACATACCATATCATTTTTCTTATAAATTTTTGCTTTGATATAATAACAGAAGAACAGAAACATTGGTTTCCTTAATACCAAGTCATTCTGGTTAAAGGTGACTATGCTATGTCTGAACTCAAAAATATCTTCTCTCCATATGCCCACCAGTATTTCTGTGTTTTTATGAACAAGGAACCCTTGGGTTGAGAGTTGTAGGAATACATTAAGAAGTAGTCATGACAGCTGTCTTCCAGTATTATAGGCTGAGTGAGTCTGTATGCCAGTTGCTAAGGAACACAAAGAAGAGAATAGTGTTGCATTAATGTCTTTGTGGGCTTCCCAGAGTAAATTGGTTTGGGTCATAAGGAACAGAATGGTGAATTAGAAAAGCTTTGGGGCTGATCTGCCATGGCTTCCCTTAAAACCTTGAATGCACTGATGTGCAGCTTTTTCCAACAGGCTCTTTTTCCATCTTTTTCCTTAAGAGTTAAATCTTCTTGGCTGATTTTTTTACATCTTACCCTTCTTGCAGATCCTTCATCCCAGACCAGCATCTGGTATTCTGCCCAGAGCAGCTGCTTCGCGTGATTCTTGCACATATCCACTACATGCCTGACCACTGGCAGGGCAATGCTCACCGTTATGAGACCCGAGATGAATTTGCTCAACTGTTCCAGTACAAGGCGGTGAGTTGGGGCTGGGAGGGAATTGTATCAGTGCTGCCCTTATGCTTAGGCAGATGCCCTCCCTGATCTCAGTACATCTTATCCTCAAATGTGCTCCCAGAAATTGGGGAACCTTTTCTAACCACAGACCATGTGTGAACAGAGGCAGGTCCTAGAGTTCTAGCCTAAGGTTGTGTTGATGGTATGGCAGTCTGTTTCTTGAGACCTGACTTTGTCTTCCATACTTCAGGTGTTTATTTTGGAAGAGCTGCTAAGCCCTATTGTGACTCCCTTGATCCTCATCTTCTGTCTGAGGCCCAAAGCGCTTGAGATTATTGATTTCTTTCGCAACTTCACAGTGGAGGTGGTGGGTGTGGGAGACACCTGTTCCTTTGCCCAGATGGATGTGCGCCAGCATGGACATCCCGCGGTAGGTCCCAGCAAACTTAGGATGTTTGGGGAGAGGTGAGGATCTCAGAAAGAGATGCTTGTTTTGGGTGTAGAATGAAAGTGTTTCAAATTCTGGCTTTCAAGTGGGAGCATACAGGTTTGCAGACATTAGGCAATGAAGTTCAACTTATGTGTGGTGACATATGTATAATTGTGTTCAATCCTATTGTCAGCAGTTATACTGACAACCAATTTTCCATGAAGCAAAACATGTATGCTGAAGGTCGTCTCTACTCCATAATCTCTTAATAGGTCCCTGGTAGAGTTAGCCCTTAGTGAGTTTATAGCCCAGAGTATTTTCAACATGCAGTTGGAAACTGGTGACTGTATAATTGGAGAAACAGAGAAAAATTTAGACGTATTATGCATTTCTGTTCATTAAGCAGGCAGTGTCATGGAGCACAATTTGTATATGAGGAAATGCCCAAACCATATTAAAGCTATTTCCTCATTTTGGCCAGAGCCTCCTTTTCTTTACCTTTTTCAGTACTAAAAGTCTGCAAGCCCTATAGACTGTAGCATAACAGATGCCAAAGCCACCACTCAGCCTGAAAATTTGTTTTCAGCTTTTCAGGAGATGTGATCTAACATAATGTTGCAACTGAAAAATCTGCCTTAAACATACCCTGTTACAGCTCTTTTCCCTCTTGGGGTTTTGCAGAAAGCTTTGGCAGCTGCATATGGTTTGATGTTTCTGGGGGAAGCAAGGGTTTGATGGAGGCTCTGAGATACCTCTGGTTTATCTTTTGCAGTGGATGTCAGCTGGGAAGACAGAAGCCTCCATTTACCAACAGGCAGAGGATGGCAAGACAGAGCTGTCCCTCATGCACTTTGCCATCACCAACCCACACTGGCAGCCACCTCGGGAAAGCACAGCCTTCATTGGTTTGCTTAAGGAACGTGTGCGCCGTGATAGCAGCCTGGCATTGGCCCAGCAGGCTGTCCTCCCTGACAATGCCCTCTTCACCTCCATCCAATCTCTACAGTCAGAATCTGAGGTACCTTGCCTGAAGGGAACTGACAGGGATTAGAAGAGAACATAGTCCTGGCTTACTGTGTTGTTGTGTTGTTTCAGTTTATATACCAGATAGTGCAAAAGCATTCTCTGAATGGTTGTTAACATAATTATGCAAACAACATTTTGCCTCCCAGCAAACTGCATGCTCATTTTACTGACCTTGGAAGGATGAAAGGCTGAGTCAAACTTCATCCCATTGGAATTGAACTGGGGTTGTAAGCAAAGTCCTGACTACATTATTGCAGTTTAACCACTGTGCCACAGGGCTCTGTGGGAAATAGAAACAGAGTGCTGAGCTGTTTCTGTAGGATATGCCTATTTCCTTGAGTGTCCTACTATCGGAAAAGAGTGGTCACAGGCCTTAGGGCAGTAGAGTCATTTGGGTAATGGCATGGGTACTCTTCATTACCACTCTACTGTCTCCTACAAGCATGTTAAATCTTCTTTCTCTTTTCTTCTTGGTAAAGCTCAGTTATATTCACTTATAGCAGAGATGGGGAATATGTGATCCTCCACTTGTTGCTCAACTACAGCTATTGTCATCCTTGATCTTTGGCCATGCTGGCTGGGTCTAACTGGATTTCGAATCCATGAATGTCTGCAGAACCACAGGTTCCCCACCCAAACCCTAAAGGCTTGGCATCCTCAAACTGTCTATATAATCCATGATCATAATCCATGATCCCATACTCATCTTGATTTCCAGATTCCTTTCCACAGGATCTCTTACAGTGATAAAATAGATATCAAGTAAAATGTGTTATTCTTCTGTCCTTGTAAAGAGCACTCCTTAGACTGCTGTCTTCCTGGAGTTACTTGGAAGCTGCTTTGGACTGAAGAAGGTTGGGCTGCCTTTTCAAAATTGAGAGGGAGACATTCATTCATTCATTCATTTATCTATTTATGCATACATAAATATATATACATACTGCACCATCTGGCCTGGGACCACATATTAATTAAAGGACTAGAGCTGAATGTCTGTTCTGCCTAAGTTGCACTACCTTCTCTGTTTTCTCCCTGCAGCCACACAGCTTGATTGCTAATGTGATTGCAGGCTCTTCTGCATTGGGCTACCAAGCAACTCGTGATGGCCAGGCCTCACGCCATCTCTCTGCTGTATCCGAGGTAGCATCTGCCCTGCGTTCTTTCTCTCCTCTTCAGTCTGCTCACACAGTCCATGGGAGTTCCCATACTGATGGTTCCCAAATTCGGGGCCCTGGAACAATGGCAGGCTCGGGGTAAGAAACTGCATATTATATAGAGCTCAGGAGAAAAGGCTAAGGACTGAGCATAAGCATTTTGTCTTGAGTGCTAGTTTAGAATGCAGCTATCTTTGTGAAGTATATCATACATTATGCTTTTATTAGCAAACATATACACAAATGTTGGGGGAAATATAATATCCTAGCTCAGGTTGGGTAATATGTAGCCTTCCGGAATCCCATCATCTCTCACCCATGGTTTGAACTGGCAAGGACCAATGTGGAATGCAATACATCAGTATCTGAAGAGCTACACATCCTGCTCCAACCCCCGTATTCCACCTTTACAAGAAACAGCAGCAGCTTCTGAGATTTTTTATTGCCTCCATTCTTGAGCCCATAGGATTTCATGGATTTTGAGGAGATTGTGAGGAAGAGCATAAGGCTATCTAATTCTGCAGGACTTCATAAAAGACTGCTATGCATGCTGGACACATATTTGATCAGCTAAATACATCATGTATTGCTAAAAAGTGACACAAAAGTGCTGTTGCTGAAATTAACTTGTCCGGTCCAGTATATTTAGGCAGCTGTTACATTCAGTGTGCCTAGGTATGGCAAAGTGAAACAGCGAATGGGGTTCCCTCTGAACACTAAAGAATCCTTTCTAACTTCTTGTCTTGACTCTCTTCTCCATTCTGGCTGCAGGGCTGATGCTAGGACAGCTAGCTCTGGCAGCAGTGCCTGGGAAGGTCAGCTTCAGAGCCTCGTCCTTTCAGAATATGCTTCTACCGAGATGAGTCTGCATGCACTCTACATGCATGAGGTGAGCTGATCCCAAAGGACTGCACAGGTCTTGGCACTGGGCCATGGACGTCCATGCCATTTATCTAACAAATATAAAAATTTGAATGATGTAGGTTTATGTACCATAATGGAGAACTAAACTGATATTAGCACAAAGACAAGAGAATTGTTCATTTCACCATGAGGTGACTCCTTCTGCTGACAAGAATTCTGATGATTCCAGAGCTTCTGTTTGTGTCAGTACATCATACATTGGACTTGGGGGAACATAAACATCCATTTCAGGTTGCAGGACAGTACAGTACTAAGTCTTTCATGGATGTAGCTAGGAACTATGAGAAGAATGCAGAGTGAAAGCAAAACCATGCACAATTTAGATTGCTTCAGTGGTGAACTGGGATACCTTGCAATGCATTAGTAGCACCATAGTTGGATAGGTATGCTCTTAGCAATTGATTAACTCACCCTGTTGTTCACTCAGTTGCACAAGCAGCATGCCCAGTTGGACCTTGAGCGCCACTTATGGCACCGGCGGGAGAGCGATGAGAGTGGTGAGAGTGCACAGGAGGAGACAGAGACTCAGAGGGGCACCCCTGGTAGCATCATTCCTCGCTCAGCCAGCTATCCTTTTGCCTCACCTCGGACGGCTGGAGATGAGACAGCAGCTCTGCAAGCAAGCTTCCAGCGCCGATATGGTGGTGTCTCAGGTAGGTGTAAGGAGTGCAAAAGCCTTGGCTCTTTTATATTCCTTGGCCAGGAAGGGCTTTCCCAGAGATAAGTTCTTCTGTGTAAAAGACCCCAAAGCCCTTCTCTAGAAACCTGCAGGTGTGCTGATTTAGATTTTTGGGCTGCAATTCTTGGAGAATTCTGGAAATTGCAGTCCAAAAACACAAAACAGCACACCCCTACGCTTTGCTCCCTGTTAAACACTGTGGTGCCACTTAGCCTATGGGTTCAAGTTGTAAAATATCACACTGCAGCATAGTGGATTCTTTTGTTTAATTATATGATCAATGTATTACATTTAAGAGGCAAGTCCTACCCGGAGAGTTCCTCAGCTCTCCTTGTGGCCTTTCTGACCTCAGTCTTTGCTGTTCAGCCACGTTGAAGATAAATAGTTATAGTCAGCCTAAGATTAAGCAGTAGGATTGGAGTATCATCCAGTCTTTCCCAGACAGTTTTGTTTTTGCTGCTTATGTTACAGAAAGATCTCATTAACTCTGATTTTCATGTTACATCATAATAATTGTTACATGTGGCATGACCAAGGATAGGTCTATAAGATATACAATAATGGACTTTGTCACAGGATTGACTCCAAGATTAACAATACTTGTAATAGATTTTATATGTATGTCGGATATCTCTGTTGAGTAAATTACTATAGGGATAGAGCAGCCTAGAAACATCAGGCAGATTTGCAGGAAGCTGTTATTAATAGTGGTATTTCACTATTCTTTTACTTTATCTGTCTTCATAACAGACCCTGGCACCATGAATAGGGCGCCATCACACTTCGCTCGGCTGCCACTTGGGGGCTGGGCTGAGGATGGCCAAACTGCTCGACACCCAGAGCCTGTCCCAGAGGAGAGTTCAGAGGATGAATTGCCACCTCAGATACACAAGGTAGTGTTTGGTTCACACTTGGTCATGACTAGAGATGGGGGTATTCATCTACGAATACGAATATCCCCACACAAGTGGTGTTAACGAGGGTCCAGCCCCATAGAGCTGGACAGTCCACTAATGTTTCCAATCTCCAACAGGTGTAACTGTGAATGCTGAAGATCAAATGGAGGGTCCAGATTCTGGGCCCATCTTAGTTGACAGGACTCTGAGTTACACCACCCTGAGAGGTGTGGATTGGCTCAGGAGGCCATGTCCTGGACGTCAGTATCAGAAGGAAGAAGATATGAGGTCAGCAGTGCCTTTGTGATGGGCAGAACTCTATCCAGACATGCATCATGGCAGTGGCATGCTAGGTGTGCATAAGCTGGATGTGTGTGTGATTACATATTTGTCCATGTCTGCATACGTGTCGTCCATGTTGGAGAATCATCCAAGACCTGCAAAGAAGCGTCAAAGCACATAAGAAACAGGGATATTGACAGGTGCTCAGCCTGCCTGAAAGGTTCCAGGGTGGGAAGAGGACCTGCTGTATGGACCCTGTTCAGAGGCAGGAAAACACTGCCTCGTCAGACTGCAACACTATCAAAGATGCAATCAGGAGATAGATTTGGACTCAGGAATTGAAGGGCTGCGAAAGATTATTTTTGTAACAGGAACGGGGCACAGGCTCCCTCCGGGGCAGTGCCTGACTTAGATGAAGTTTTTCACACGCAAAAAGGGTGCATACCTTTCATTCTGCTTTAGCATTCACTCATGAACTTGGAAGCCAAGCCAGAAGGGGCAATCCTGCAGTGCCACCATCACTACTATTGGATTTGCCTTGTTCTGGATGCAGTAAATCCTGTTCTGCTTGACGCCACATATCATTCATGTCCCTGTCTCTTAGTATCAAAGCACAGAATCAAAAACATAATGCTCCAAACTGTTACTGGGGTTTGCTTGAGTCTGTATCTGAAACAACCCAAGTAATCCTCACACCAAATCTTACCAAGCCGGAAAGCCTCATTCTCTGGAGAGATGGCTCTTTTCTAAAGAAGGCCCTTACTTTTTACATTGTTCATCCTACTAGAACCAAGAATTGAGTATTAGGCTCTGCAGGTGAGGATGAGGGATGGATTGAGCTGGTCTGCCCGTTACCATGATATTTAAATATTTCCCAGATTCCCTTACCCTGTTTGGGTTTATCTCCCAACTGGTACTGCCAATTTGTGATGTCCTTGTTTTGTTACGGTGCCTTGAGAGTAAGTATCCAGCTGTCATGTAAGTGCCAGCAAGAGAGGAGTTTCTACATATAAAATAAAATCCATCTCTCTTGTCTAAACTATTAGGGAAGAGGTGGGCTCCAGGTTCTTACGGAAGGAGTTAAGCCTCCCACTCTGTTTGATAAGGGACTCTTATGACTTCTACAGAAGTTCTGCTGGTTCTAGTACTTTCCCAGTTTTACTGATGATTGCCACTCAACTCTTGTACCTCTCCCACTGCCCTTTTTCTTGCTCTCTAGCACTAGGGCAGTGGTAGGAGACATCATGATTTGCATAGCTAACATGACAAGCAGTATTTTCTAGGCAGCTAGTAAAAACCTCACAAAGAGGATGTGGTAGAAACCAGCCAATTGTTGCATGGGTTAATATTAACTCTCTTTAGGAACCACTGGTCCCAGATACCTCATTCAACCTATAATGTAGCTCTTCCTTCTCTGTGGGGGGTCAAATATGGAATATTTATTCACAATGACCACTGCAACGTCCAATAATCACTTGCCAAAGCCACTTTCTGTGGGAGAGGAGGTTTGCAGTCACAGACAAAATCTGCATCCTTACTATCTGTGGGACCAAACTAGACTGTGCAGGGGATCTCCAGTGCAATACTCTGACTTCAAAGCAATGTTGTGGTTTGGGATCCTGCAGTCCTGAGATCTATTTCCCTTCCTGCCCTTTTTTAAGAAACGAAGAGGTTATTATCTTCAAGAATTTATTTCAGCTTGCTTCATCTCTTTCCCCCACGGAAACTGGCAGCCTTATTCTGACAGTGAATAAAGGGAGCATTTTAGCTGCACCAGCAAAGAATTGAGGGGAATGCTGATAGCCCTGTCTTATGCTTATCTTTGCCCCATCTCCATGCGCATGGTACAGCTGCCTGCTGCCTCCTGTTTTGTTTGCAGCATGAAAGAGGCTAGGCTGTGGGTGTGTGGAGCACTAGAAGTGGTTTGTAAAGCAAAGCTTACGCCTGGTAATCTGTATAGTGCTGTCTCTACTGAATAAAGAGGGACGTTCCATTCTTTGATGGTTCTATGCTGTCATTCTCTGAAATGCCTCCTGATCAAATCCTCTGCAGCCTGCAAGATGAATCCACTGGTATTTCAGGGTAGCCCTCACCACAGTGTCTGAGGCCTTGCTGATGTTTGCTGAATTAAGCACTGGGTGTTGGTACATATGCTTTCATGGGTTACTGTAACTTTCAAGGAGACTGCTGTTCATTTAACTCTAAGCTAATGTACCACTTCCGGAAACAGAATGAGCCAGGGAACTCCCTTGTGGCTTGAGACAAGGAAACACATGTGCCTGCAGCAGCTGGGATTTGTGCAGAGAACATTTGACCAATTTGGAATAATAAAGGAATGCACTCAGAGTACAGAATTTCTGCTTCTGTACAGCTCATATGTACTCTCAACATGTCCGGCAATACTGATAATAATTGAGTGTAAAAGTCATTTTAAAATGTATATGACTTCATGTTTTAGTTTTGCTTTTACTTAGTTTGGACTACTGAGAAAGAGTGAAAGGTCATTTGTATGAAACATCTAAACTACTAGGCTGATGGCCTTAGAGATGCTCTTGATTCAGGTATCTCCCTAATTCTTAATTTTGTCATACATCTAAACGCTCAAAGTGTGTTTTGTGAAGATAGTCACAGTTCTGACCTGGCTATATAGAGAAGGGATGTGCTAATCATTTAAGTGGGGGAATGATGTTCTTTTGATTTTCATCTCTGATTTCTGGTTTTATGGGGCTGAAGTGGGATATGTAGACATTCCAGAGTAAAGATGGAGTTTCCATGGGGCTTAGGAAAAGGCATTTCCTGAGATGGTGTCTATGGCTTGGGCAACTTCTTCAGCTGCTAAGATTTTCTAGATCAGACTGTGACAGTTTGTGGCTCTCTCCAGGTTGCATATTACACCTCCCATCAACCCTGGCCAACATAGCCAACGGTGAGGGCTGATGAGAGCTATTGTAAACTGCAAGACTGTAAATTGTCCATCCTTAATCTACATAATGAGGAGCTAGTCTCAGTGTCTATGCTGCCTATCAGATTCACTGAGCTTCTAACACCAAACCACCTTTCATGTGTTTTTGCCTTGAACAGATAGGTTTACTTTACTGCACACAGTTGCAACCCACATTTGAGAAACTTTCTGTAAATTAAAGGAATTGTCTTGTTGTAATCTGCATCAAAACAATATCAAGACTAAATATATGTGTTTAGTAGAATTATGAAATGTCCATTTTAATCCATGATAACAGGATTTTTTTTTAAAAAAAATAAAACTAACTTAAATCTGTGGAGTAGTCACATTTGCTGTATTTAAGCATAGAAATCCCTGGTGTAGGGCTTCATCTGTTTCTATAAAGAGAGAGATGGGACTCAAGCCTGAAAGCTATCCCCTGTGCTCAGGTGTATAAAGATGAATTGTGGAAATACCTTGATACTAAGCCAGGGTGTTACATTATTAAAGTGCTCATAGTGTTGAAAAGTACACACCATTCCATGTTTCCTGTATAGTTCAAAACTGAGATTTCATGAGTTCTTAACTCAAGTTGCACTATGATACAGTATTTAGGTGACACTGTGGCATCTTACCCTTCCTACAAGGAGCCTATATTTTGTTTCACATAAACCTTGTGAGATACTTTAGGCAGAGAGAAAGAGAGAAAGTAAGGGCTTGTCCAGATGGAACATTTGTTTCTGTAAAAGTATCCATTCATCATTGATGGCTTATCAACTTTTCCTCCAATCCATCTGATGCAAGGCTTAATCGGATGCTATCTGTGCTTTTTTTCTGGCCTTTCAGTGCTTTTGTTGTTCTTCCTGAAGAGTGTGGTTTATTATTTTTTAGGATTTGCAATCGACCAGGTGAACACAGGTGGAGAGGGCGCGAGAGGCTGGGACTTCTGTTTCATCTGGATAGGCTCTGATTTAAACTTGCATGCTATTTTTATTGGTGCATAAGGATTTGGATCCAAAGTTTAAAGCTGCATGTCTATGTTCATTTACTTAGAAGTGGGACTAACTGGATTTAATAACCCTGTCTTCAGAATGCACTCATGGTATTCACTCCATCTTCATTTCCCCAGTAGTTAATATTATATATTGGGCTCCAACTGACTGTTCTTTTCCTAGTAAGTCCAGGAAATGTAACCTCCACTTTTGACGATGTGAGGATTTCTGTGTTTCTGAGTGCTTCTCCTCTCAGCCGGAGCAGAGGCCATATGTTTGACAAAATGCAAGGGAACATTCACAGATAAGTGACTGGCATCTCTTTATCAAGAGAAAGGGAGAAAGCTATTTTGACCCTACATCCTTTGAGCTGAAAGTTTATTAATCAAGATATATGGCCATATCCTAGTTGTGGATTTTGACCAAAGACCACTTACCTTTGGACTACTTCAAAGGGCTCCTGTGTTTTTTTTAATTCGGAAGGGTGCAATGGTGGAGGTGGGGAGCAGCTGTTCCATAAATGTTCAGGGCAAGGCTCTGTTTCTACTCTTGAAAGCTACTTTGTGTACTCATTTGGGGATGAAGAAGCGACCGAAATATAAAAAAGTAAAATTAAATATGTACCGTACTTCGCATGAGGTTTGAGGCTGGCCATGGGTGAAAACCGCGGCCACTAGGACCCAGGAGGAGTCCTCTAACGGAGTGATTCGACGGCGCTAGGGCCTGGGGGCGACCCGGCACGGTCTGGGGCGGCTCGGGTTGCGCTGCGAAGCCTGGATCGGGACGCGCTGCGCTGACGCCGAGGCTGCAAGGGACCCCCGACAGGCAAGTCGCTCGAGTCGAGGAAGGGGGGGCAGGCAGGGGACGGTCTCCCGCGGACAGGGAATCGGAACGGGGCGCGGTGGGGGTGGGGGGTTTGCTAAAGCAGAGCAGATGCCGCTGGTTCGTCTTGCTGAGCCTTCTCGGGCTGTGCCCGAAGTCCCAAGGTTGGTGGACACAACACACACCCCTTTCGCGGCATCGCCCCTGAAAACTGTGTTGGCAAGCGCCACCCTCCCCCCCCCCCCGCTACAGCTCTCACGATCCCGCATGTGGGGGATTCTGGGAGTTGTAGTACAAAAACAGCAGCGCTCTTATAGGAAAGCAGCCGTTGCCCTTTGAGGGTCGACCGCAGGATTCCCCCACCCCCGCCCGCCGCCCGCACTGTCATTTCTTTCCTCGCTTGTAATGGGGACGTTATCCCCATGTTTGGATCCCTTCCTCCGTCTGGCCTCCCAGGTTTCCCCCCACCCCGCTCGCCCGGCGCCCCAAAGTACACACTCCGACGACCCCTCGGGAACACTGCGGCCTGCTGAGGATTTAGGGGGGAGGAAGAGAGACGGAGGGATCAGGAGCTGGCGGCGGCATGTAGCGCCAGGTGCCATTTCCTTCTACCTCGCCTACTGCGAGCCTTAAAAAAAAAAGGCAACAACCTAGTCGGGCAGCAAAAGCAGGATTGTAAACACACGCCAAGTCGCCATGCTTAGGGAAAGAAGGTGGCCTTGGGAGCGCCCTCGGCTGCTGCAACAGCTGAGCATGGCATGGGGCGTGCAGGAGGAGGCTGGCGGAGGCTGGCGCTGTCCCCGCACCCCCTGCGGCCAGGGCTGGGGTTGCTTGCCTTGGGTGCCTGCCGCGTCCGTCTCTCCGGGGTGGCTTTTACTTTCCTCTGTGAAAAGTTCAGGGTCACTGGGAGAGCAGGGCTGTTATAAGAATGGGGTTTGCCCGACGGACTTGAATGGACTCTGGAGCATGCAGAGTGTAGTCATGGCCCAATAGTAATAATATGTTTTAATGTCATATGTCAGGAATGACGAGGCAACGCTGTGGAGAGGCATGTAGGAAGGAAGCAAAAATATCAGCAAGCTGTTGTCATGTAAGCAGAGGCTTAAAAAGGAAAGGAAAGAAAGAAGCTGGTTATTTTAACTTAGAAGGTGGACAACCTGGGGTCCTCCCGGGTATCTTTGACTGCTGTTCCCATGATCCCTTCCCAAACTATGCTGGCAGGGGCTTAGGGGGCTTGAAGTCAAAAACATCTACAAGGCACCAGGCTGCCAGCCCCACTCAGGCAGGATAGAGGAATGGTTCCTGGCCAAGGAAGCAATCTTCAGGAAATCTGTTGTCATAAAACTACAGAAAACCCAGAGGCAAAAGCAGAGAGGAGGAACACGTGTAGTTTAGACTGCAGCTCCCATCATCTCTCGTCATTGGTTATACTGTCATTGAGGGAGACTACAACCTACAATCTAACAATACACCTGAATATTTCAGAATGTGAAAGGTTTACTTTATGGACTACAACTCCCAGAATCCTCCAGCTTCCATGCCCAGGAATCATGCTGTGTGTGCCATTCTGTAGTCCAGAACAATGTTTCTAAGCTCTAGCAGAGCTGTATGGACTACAACTCCCAGAATCCTTCAGCTTCCATGCCCAGGAGTCATGCTGTGTGTGCCATTCTGTTGTCCAAAACAATGTTTCTAAGCTCTAGCAGAGCTACACGTTCCTCAGTCTTGTGCGAAAGGTTGGTGTGTGGGATGTGTGTGTAATGATGTGCTGTATGTTTACTGAGAAATAAGCCTCATTATATCTATTTACTTATTAACTTGTTTCTGTATTGCCAAACCTTTCTAGGTAGTTCACAAAATAAAGATTGCGCACAATAAAATATAGGACTGTAACAATAAAGACAATGTAAAATCTAAAAACAAACAGAAAACGCCAGCATAGCCATGGATATCAAACTAAAGAAGAGTGAGAATTATTCTTGCATACAGAACCTCTGTCACCTGGGAATTCACTGGTGTGGGATCACACTACCCTCTATACATAGCACTCATATCTAAAAAAAACAAACAATTAAAAGACTTTGTGAATATCTGTGGAACCAAGTGATCCAAGACTGAAGAATTCTACCATCCTAAAATAGAAACACAAGGGATCAATTGTCTAATCCCTTACAATGAAGAAGGCTGTTTGCCTAGAGAGTGAAGCAACAGCCGCTGGTGGCAATTTTTGGGCGCCTTGAGACACAGCAAAATTTGGCCAATTGTATTTTTACTAGCAGGAATTATGAGAGGCATTTGATGTCTGCCCCATGTATCAAATGTGGTTACTCTGAATGCTATATACTATGGCAAAGATTTGTGGGGGTTCATTAGCCCTTTCATTTTGACCACAAAATACTTTAGGTCAGTCCTGCTTTAGCTAAAGTGTGCATTCTAATTTCCTTTCATGTCTTCCCACCAGTGTTTATGCAGTTCCTCAGCCAGGAGGAGGATGGCACTCCAGAGCTACTGCGAGGGGAATGAGTCTCTGGCCCAAGCATGGGCTCAGCAGGGCCTGTACCCCTGTTTCTACTTCACACTGGTGCCTGCAGTGCTGTTCAGTGTGTGCCTCCTCTTGGGGGCCCTGCAGTACGCCTGTTACGCTCGTTTCAGCCGCACCATGGAGCCCAAGTATATCCCACGCTCCCCTCTGTACGCCATCCAAGTCCTTCTCTCCCTGCTCCTTGCCCTCCTGCCCTTTGTCTCCCTTCTGTGGCAGGCGCTGGGCACACGGCAGCTCTATGGGTATATGGTGCTGTACGCGTGCCTCTCTGCTGTGAGCTGGACCGGCTCAATTGGGCTACTGCAGTTGGAACGCACTCGAGTGATGACGCAGGATCGGATCAGAGGCCATGGTGCAATCCTGCTTCTCTATTGGGCCCTGGCTTTTGCTGCTGAGAACCTGGCCTTCATCTCTTGGAACAGCCCCCTCTGGTGGTGGGGCTTAGAAGACACCAGTCAAAAGGTAGGTGGGGGGGGAGGGTTACTGGAGAGAAGGCTGGGGAAAACATTCCCTGTTTGGTTCTGTGGTGCAGGAGTATTGGTCCACTTCCCTGGCAAAGATAGGTTCTCTTTCCCTTGGGGACACCATTGCCCTCCAAGCAGAAGCTTGTGGTGCAAGCAGTGCAGTTTTGAATGCCTATGATAACTGTAGTCCATGTTAGCATTAGGTAGTGGCCACATGTTGAACCACACACCCCCTGACCATGCAGCAATAGTGTGTGTTGAAAGAACTGTTACCAAAATAAACTGTTTCACCTTAAGTGTTCTGTAACATGAGCTTTTCTAGGCTATAGTCCATCAGATGCATAAACCCTCTGTTATCGGGGAATCAGAGTGGGGACATTAGTGGATGTCAACTCCCAGAAGGTGTTCAATTGTCAGGGATCCTTGGAGCTGTCATTAAACAATAGCTAGGAACCCTAATATATTAGACGATATGTTTCTCACAGTCACTTGAGCTGGCAATGAATAAGCAGTTTATACATTCCAAAAGGGAAGAGATTTTACCACCAGCAACATAACAAGGTTTACCAAGGATGTGAGTTACCCAGTGGAGGTCTAAGTGGTGGTCTTTCCTGGATGGATTTAGAATATGAATACTACCTTTCTATAGTCAGAGGCTCTCATCGTTTAGTCGTTTAGTCGTGTCCGACTCTTCGTGACCCCATGGACCAGAGCACGCCAGGCCCTCCTATCTTCCACTGCCTCCCGGAGTTGGGTCAAATTCATGTTGGTCGCTTCGCAGACACTGTCCAGCCATCTCTAGAAAAGTGTAATTAAAGGAAGAAATCAGCTATTCAAAGTGAGGCTTTTCCTGGTGTGGAGACTGAGGAAGAAAGCCTTTTCTGTTGATTGTTGTGTTCATCATGCAACTCCTAAACTCAGAGAGTCTCCACCCCTAAAACAGATGTTATCATTATGGAGGATATTTCAGTCTAGCAGTATGTGCATATAACAGTTGAGAAAGAGCTGGATTTTCCAGCTGCTCCGGAAGGTGGTATATTAGCCTGCCAAGCAGCAGTAGACATCTCTGCATACTGTATTAATACTCGTACCTCTACTTTCTGTATTTGTGGATTTGGGAATTTCTGGGAATACCTTGGAATTTCTGTAGAAAATTAAGCAATGTTACAATTTTGGAAGGGGAAATTGAACTCTAAATGAAGGAATATTAGATTATAGCTCCAAATGCTCCTGGTGCAGAGAGCACTTTTTGTATAGTTGCATTGCTTGTGTTGTTTATGTGGTTATGTGATACTAATTTTTTAGTTCACTTTTTAAAAATAAAACTAAAAAAGGAATTCTGTAGAAAATTAACTAGAAAAGGAAGAAGGCTAGGAATGAAGCCGTCTTGGCACATGCTCGTTATTACAGCTACTCAGCTACCAGCCATGCTCATTCTCATTTTCCCTCTTGCTTGTTCATCTCCTGGTCTTTTTGCTGATTTGCTGAGTCACTGTTATTCAGCCGGCTCATGTGAACTCAGGATCTATGCTTACGTTATCTCCCTCGTCACATAGAGGAATACATACACACAAACGGACTTTGATTGTTTTGCTGAATAATTTCAAGGACTTTGCCCAAAGGCTTTCTATAAATTCTCCCTTAGGAAGTTTCAAGTCACAAGCTGAGATTTCTCTTCGTCCCTCTCCCCCACTTAGGACAAATGTGCTTGCTCTAGTATTAGGCGAAAGGGCAAGAGCTTCTCCCATGCTGCAGGTTTCATATTGTAATATTTTTCAATAGAGCACTTAGGTCCTGAGTCTATATTTATTAAACATATACATTTTATTTGTTTTAAAATTGTTTTAATCTTGCTTTTGATGTTGATACATTTTTAATTGTTTTTAAAATAGTTTCCATGAAATTTGAAACTGTTGATTATTGTACAGTTTTAATTCTTATGAGTGGCTTTGTGTCCCTTATGGGGAGAAAGGCAGCACTCAATACAAGACAAGACAGTAGTCGCCTCCTCCCTTCCCACTGAGAAGCAGCAAAAATGGACAACCTATCTGAATTAGAAGCAGGCAAAAGCAAACAGGGATGTGGCTGCATCATAGTTATGTATCCTTTGCTTTTCAATATGTATATGAAAAAATAATTGGTTGCCAGTGCTTTTAACAGTGTTTTTATGCTCACATAAAGGAGGAAATGGCCATTCTTTGTACTATGCACCTTCATCATTTATCGTGGGGAGTCACTGAGCAGCCCATTTTGCTTTCCACTGTAGACCAGCCTCAGACCTGTTCCCCTCACCACGTGCCTATTCAATAATAATAATAATAATAATAATAATAATAATAATAATAATAATAATAATAATAATAATAATAATGTGCCATTAAGTCATTTCTGATGGATGATGACTCTTTCCAGGGCTGAGTAGAGAGTATTCAGAAATGGCTTCTATGAGCACCCTGGGACTGTGCAGCTTGACCAAGGTCACACAAAGCTGACTCTTCTCCCCGAAGGCACAGTGGGGAATTGAACTCCTAACCTTTAGCTCCCAACCCGTTGTCTCCACATCTAAACCACTGAGCTAGGAAATATAGATTCTAATTCTGTATTAGGAAATAATGTATTCATATAATTTTTAAGTAAAATTCCTGAAAATAAAATCCAGCAGTTTTTGATTGATGCCTCAGTTTTATGGGATTTCATAAAATTCTATATAGATTGTTTAGGGCAATCTCCCTAATTAATAATCAGTACAATACTTAGTCTAGAAGATACCATCAGAAAATTTTGCAGTTTTCAGACTGCCTTTGTGACACCAGAAAAATATACTACTTAACAGCAGTATAATGAAGTGAGAAATAATATACGTGATCAATCCTATGTTCCAACCCTGAATGAAGTTACTCCTGGAGTATTTTCTTTCTTGATATGATATGCTGGTGGAAATTCTGGCCAGTCCTATTACTCTCTCCAGGGTTGTTTTCAATAGTTTCCTTGAGTTATGTTGATTTCTTTATAGTGGTAAACCTAGTTATTATTTCTCTGTAACTTTGTGTAGACAAAATTAAACCCTTAGCTCTTTCTGAAAGTACATATTATCAGACACTTGAACTGCCAGTTAATTATCTGAGATGAGCAAGGAGACCGTGAAATATGCATATAAAAGTTATAGCAGGCAAGAGTGTGCTTTTTTCATGTGAAACAAAATCACAATGAAATCACTACTTGGATTCAAATGAAACCAAATCCACCCTGATTCCAGTGGGTTGGACCTTTCATTCAAAATAAATGGTAAAGCGGAATTGTTGGCTTGCTGACAACTTGTTCTGCCAAACATTGTGTGAAGTCACCCTTGTAAGTCAGGGAATGGGCAGCTATGCTCCCACACAGCCACACTGGGCTTGAAAATGGGGGTTTGGGTGGGAAGGAGTTTTGGTTTTTGAAATCTGACTTTTTGAGGGAAGGTATTTGGGGTGGCGTTGGGAAAGTCGCTTCACAGCAAATAATGGTGCTCATAAAGGCTTCTAGGATTTTTTCCTTCTGGTCTTGGGCCTGGACTTCAAAAAAAGAAAAACCAGGCCATGGCATATGGCCCAGAGGCCACACTTTCTCCATCCTTGTTGTAACTGATGGCCTATCTTCTGACTATACTGTGGTGCCAGAAGGAGGAAGGTTCCCCATGCTGCCCAGCCATCAGGGGCAACAAATGTATGTACTGTAGACACTTCAAGTTAAAGTGGGCACTTCAGGCCTGGCAACGTCACATAGCCTAGCTTCCCCTGTAGGCCATCTGCTGCAACTACAGATCTCTCAAAACAGGAACAGGTTTCTGGAGGAACAGGAAGTTAGCTAGGGAGTCCTCCAGGAAGTGTGTTTGGGTCAGGAGGGATACCATCAAATGCACTGTAAAGTTTGAGGGAGTTGGACCTATCTCTGGATTGTTGTACAAAAAAAAGGTGTTTTTGTGATCTCCACAAGTCTCTCTGGATAATTTTTGTGTCCAATTGTAATAAGCCAGTGTGTTTGATTATCAACTATTGTATGACCAGTCTGTGGTTGGCTCATTCAAGTTTGCTTTTGACTGGTCACATACCAGCCTTAGCGGGTAGTTTCTCTTTATCCAGGCTATTTGACTTTGGGGATCCTCAGAAAGAAGCATTACCTGGATAGTAGCAGAGACTATGTGAGGGGAGAGAGAGATTGCTGCAAGAGCACAACTGACATGAAATCAACTCCTTCAGGTACAATTCAGCCTGTGGTTACTACGCTACATTGGCTCCTTCACCCTTTTCACTTTGGGCATAAAGGCTCCAGGGTTGCCCCGAAAACCCTACATGCTGCTGATTAATGAAGATGAACGTGACATCGAGAACACTCAGGTGGGCTTCTGTTTCTCTAAATTGCAAGTTTTCTTCTTTGTATGGCTATTTCTACCTATCTCTCTCATTTTTGTCTACAGCCCAGCTGCAGAAGGTGGGAGGAACTGAATATGTAAGTTTAAATTAAGCTATGATACCTATTTCATTAAAAACAGCACTCAAAGCTGCTGGGTTTTTCCCCCTCTCTGGAGCTGTGTTTTTAAAGTTGGCACAACAGTTAGTGCACCAAATCTTGACAGGATCAGAACTCAGAACCAGAGCACATGAGTCAATTCATTCAGAGATCTGTAAAATAACCTCTTGGTTAGGAGTGATTTCCCCCCTCCCCAGGTTATTAATGTATGGATCTCCATCAGCATTCTTTAAATCTCCATACCCATGCTAGCAGCTACATGAGACATACAGAGGCTGGGAACATAAAACTCTTTTTCAGCAGCATCTATCAATAACTAGCATGTATTATAGCCGATAAATCAAAATAGATGAGACAGCAGTAGAATAAGGAACACCGTTGTGTTGCCTCTTCCTTTTCTGACAAAATGAGAACCCATACTTCGGTGGCAGATGCTTGGCATGTAGAGGGGCCTTTCAGTCTCTGACAGCTCCAGTTTAAAAAAAAAATACAGCTGGGACAAAGCATCAGTGAAAATTCAGGAGAGTTGATGCCAGTCAGAGCTGAGTTAGACCTGCCTGTGATGTGTGATTTGGTATAAGACAGGGCTGGGAAGTCTGTAGCCCTCCAGATATGTTGTTGGATTCCACCTCCCATCAGCGTTAGCCAACATGCCTAAGGGTTAGGCATGAAGGGAGTTTGAGTCTGACAACATGGGGATGATACAGGTTCTTTTTCTTGGTTTAAAGGCTCTTGTGTTCTGCTACAGTAGCTTGATACTGGACAGTTCAGCAAGAGCTGCTTTTTTTAGTCATGGAGCTGCATTGATAGGAAGATAGCAGCCCCTGTAAAATTCAGAATTGTACAACTGTGAAATGCATAGGATCCTCAGTTGCTACCCTACTCTCCGTTTTGAAAGGGCAACACTAAAATATATTATGTGGAAGACATACTCAGAATGCACAGCAGGATGTAGGGAGGAGTTTAACTGAAGCTGTGAGTTTAGATTGGTTCTGGGATATGAAACTGGGCTGGAGGTGTCATCAAATTGTTGTGGCTATCCTATCTCATTCATTCATTCATTCATTCATTCATTCATTCATTCATTAGATTTCTATCCTGCCCTTTTAGACAAAGTCTACTATCATAAACTCTTTGCCACAGTTTGCTAAGAGGTGAGGCCTAGTGAAAGGAAGGTTATTAATAATATTTACATTCATTTAGGGCTATTGCAAGGAACAATAAAGGCCAAAGTACTATGTGTTGTTATTTAAATATATACCACTTTGTCTATATTATGGCAAAATGAGTGTGCAAAAAATACCCTCCTGCTGGCTTTACCTCAACACACTTGTCTGTTTTAAACCAATTTTTACCAGGTTCAGTTCACTCCTAGTACTGGACAAAAGATGGAGATAAATAACCCAAACAGCCAACTGCAATACTATATATTGGGCAAGGCTGGCCTTTCTAGAAGACAGATTCAGGCATGGGTATTTAATAAAGAGCAACAAAGCGTTAGTTATTTGATATTACATATTATTATTATTACTGCTAGAGATAGAAATGGATGATTCAGAGATTTTCTTTGTCTACTGCCAAAATAATTTGGCAGCCTTTAAGTACTACCAAAATTAATTTGAAGAAGAACCACTGTTTGCTGCTCTGCGTCAGACAGCAAAATGTCTTAAGCTGACCTTGATGATGGGAGAATGCAAGTGTTATTCCCCTGCATGTTCATCTTGAAATAAAAAGTAAACATGTAGGTACAGAAGTACTTTTTAGGCAAGCATAGGTTTGACAGATTTATGTATATCTGTCTGATTCTTAGATAGTATTTTTGGAGCAATTTGAAGCACATTGAATATTAGAAATGTGGTGTGTTAAACGCAAAGACAGTATCTGTGTATTTACTAAAAATTAAAACAAAATTCAAACCAATTTCTACCATAAGAGAAGCTGAGTTCTGCCAACTATAAGAATTATACAGTTCAGGCATGTTTTCACAATTTCTTGTTTTTCCATTGTTTTAAAATCTTAGAAAGCTAGTTTGCATGGTTGCCTTGGATGTTATTTAAAAAGTAAAGCTGCAGAGGGCATTTCAAACTACTGTTTCTGAAGCTGGCTTGTTGAAATTGACCATAGTGACCATTAGTCATAACGCAGATCAGGATGGCACTACTGTACTTCTAGTTCATTAGCAAAAGCTTTGAAACTTCTTTCTGGTTGCATGGAAAGAGAAGAGAGGAAGGAGAAGTCTGCAAGACCAAATGTCACTATAGCTTGTTCCTGCTTGTCCACATCATGCAAAACCCCTTCCTTCCTTCCTTCCTTCCTTCCTTCCTTCCTTCCTTCCTTCCTTTTATTTATTTATTTAGCTGTGCCATTACCAATGGTCTCTGTGCGGTATACAGCAATATTAAAACTTTAAAAACATTAACACCATTGAAAATAGGCAATGTTATAATAATACCCTATATTAAAAACAGTTACTAAAATATTAATATTAATAAATCCTGTTGCTTACATGGCCAGCTAAAGGATACTATTTAATTAAAATGCAGGCTAAACAGAAAGGTCTTTGCCTGGCACCAGAAAGCCAAAAGTGTTGGAGCCAGGTGGATCTCTATAGGGCGGACGTTCCAAAGTTGGGGGGCAACATCCAAGAAGGCCCTATTTCGGCATGCCTTCCCCCCTCGCCTTTTTCAGGGGTGGCACCTTCAGAAGGTCCTCCGCTAAAGGATACTATTTAATTAAAATGCAGGCTAAACAGAAAGGTCTTTGCCTGGCACCAGAAAGCCAAAAGTGTTGGAGCCAGGTGGATCTCTATAGGGCGGACGTTCCAAAGTTGGGGGGCAACATCCAAGAAGGCCCTATTTCGGCATGCCTTCCCCCCTCGCCTTTTTCAGGGGTGGCACCTTCAGAAGGGCCTCCCCTGGCCTGATCTTAGAGTACGGGAGGCTTGTATGGAAGAAGGCGGTCCTTTAGGTAACCAGGCCCTAAGCTGTTTTGTGTGGCTTTTAAATGTTCTTGTAAATGCTATGGTTTTAAAACGACTTGTATAGGTTTTGCTGTCATGTTTTCTTAGATACTTATTCCCTGTGCCTTTTGAAATCATGTGACTCTGGGATTGCAAATTGTTTGCCTTCTTGTTCAGTCATGTTTCTTCAACACTCACTTGCCCTTTGCCAAGAGATGAACCTTTTCCCTGCTTCTCGCTCAATTTCTTCCAAGTCCTTCCTCCCACATGCTACCTGCCATCTCTTCACACATGTTTTATAGGAGAAGTTATTGTGTCATTCCCAGTGCCAACCATCTCAAGTATTTATGCTGCCCCATCAAAAACAGCAATGTTCCTTTTCTTCTCACCGTACCCGGTTTCCTTTCTGTATCTTAGCCCCTGCTGCCAGAGGCCAGACGTCATTCCACCTGGAGGGATCTCGGCCGGAAGGTGCGCCTCCTTGCACGGTACATGTGGCCCAAGGGGAGCTGCCCGCTACAGGGGATGGTGATATTCTGCCTGATGCTGATGGGGCTGGAGCGTGCTGTCAATGTCTTTGTGCCCATCTTCTACAAACACATTGGTAAGCTGGGAGGGTGGCTACCAGAGAGGAATGGGGTTGCTCCTAGCAGAAAAGTAAGAAATGCATGGTAGAGAGGGCTCACTGTGAATGAATGGTGGCATTTCTCAAATGGGAGTTTATTTATTGTTTGTTTGTTTGTTTCAATTTGATATACCTCACCTGCTAGTGCCACAGCACTACTCTGGGTGTTTCACATAAATTGGACAAATAAAACCAAAGCATCTAGCCATGTAAAAACAGAGGGTGCCAGAGCATTAATAAAAACTATGGAAAATAACAGAGATACAAACAGCAAATAACTTAATGGAGATGTAAAAATACTTCGGCTCTGCTAGGGTTGGAGTGGAAGGTCTCCCTAAAGAGCCATGTCTTTACTTGCCTCTTAAATATTAACAGGGAACAGGCCAGGCAAAGCTCCTCCAAGAGCTGATTCCACAAAGATGGAGCCACTGTGAAGAAGGCCCTGCCTCTCATGGGCCTCCCTCAGGGTGGCTACCTGGAGGAGCCTCATCTGCTACCCTGAAGGGTCGGACAGTTGACATTGGGGCAAGATGGTCCGACAAGTAACATGGGCCAAAACTGGAGGGCTTTGTATGTGAGGGTCAAGACCCTGAACCTGATCCAGGACTCCACAGGTAACCAGTGGAGGTGAGCCAGAGCTGGTGTGATGCAATCGTATCTGTTTGCCCCAATCACCGATTTGGCCACTACATTCTGGACCCATTAGAGTCTCTGGACCAGTCTCAAAGGAAGCTTCATGTGGAGAGCATTGCAGTAGTCAATCCAGTAAATGACCAAAGCCTGCACCAGGGGCCTGAAGGGGCCCTTATCTGGGAAGGTGCAGAGTTGGACGATCAGCCAAAGCTGGTTAAAGGCCAATCTGGACACAGCTGAATCTGGGCATCCCAAGAAAGAGCTGAGTCCAGAAGCACGCCCAAAGGTTCCTAAGCAGGAGGGCAATGCCATCCAGTCTAACTTTTTGACACCTCTAACTTTTTGACAGACCCCACCCCACCCCCAAAACACAACCTCCAGGTTCAGCTTGAGCCTGTTTGCTCTGATCCATTCCACTGCCGAAGCCAGGCAATGCTTGAGTGTCCAGAAGATGCCCACTACAGGGGAGACATAGATCTGGTTGTCATAATGACACCTCACTCCAAATCTGATGACCTCCCCCAGTGGCTTCACATAGATGTTAAACAGCACTGGAGATAATGATGGCCCCTGAGGAACCCCACAGATGAGGGTTCAAGGGCTGAATCATCATCCCCAAGCTTCACTCTTTGGACCTGATCCTCAAGGAATGATCAGAACTAGTGCAATGCTAGAATGAGATGGGGAGCAGAGAGTACCTAAGTAATGTCATTGGTGTATTCGCGAATGTCATTGGTCTTAACCAATGTTCTGAGCAGACCAGCAGAGAGCGCCCTAATACAGGTATTGAATGCTGAAGAGGCTTTATAGTGAAAGGAATAGGGGCAAATGCAAGAAACCTGGAGCTTAGAAATATTACTTTTTTGATTACAAAAAAAATCCTTTGATTAAGAATCCCTTAATCAGCCATGCTAACTGGAGGATTCTGGGAGATGTAGTACAACAATGTAACTTTTCCAATCACTGCACCCAACTAGATAAAAGTATGGGGCCAGGAGTCTTCTGGCAGAAACCTGCTATAACTACATCTGCATCATTATTATTTGTTTCTAAGCAATGTGTGATTGAAATACCTACTGTAAGCAAATTTAAGGATGCCCTTAAACTGCTGGTTAGAAGATACCAGACTTGCAGTGTGGTTTTTTTTTGTGTGTGTGTTTTTTAAACATTAGAATCCCAAGATCTATCAACCAGAACATAGTTTGTGATGCATACTTTGAATCAGAATTTTAAAATTCTAAATCTGTGAATGAATTCTGATTGTCAGAAATGATCAGAGCTCACAGGCGGACTTGCACACATAAATCCAACTGTATTTACTTAAAGCTTTCTTCATTTCACTAGTATTATTTGGATTGGAGTTGACAGTGTAATTCTGTTGCTACCATCGATAAACAATTTGGAGATGGAAATCCTTACCATTCTACTGTGTATTCCCAGAGACTTTGCAATATATAGAGCTCTGCCTATCTTTTGACCACCCCTACTTAAAAGCAGCTCCATTCCCTGGGATCTGTGACTATCTGTAGATATTCTTGTTATGTGCCATTAAATTGCCTCTGACTTTTGGCAACCCTATGAATGAGTGAACTCTAAACTGTCCCATCATTAACAGGCCTGCTCAGCTGTTATAAACTCATGGCTGTATCTTCCTTTCTCGAGCCAGTCTGTAGATGCACTGATGCATTTGGAGATGTAGTTCAACATATTAAGACAAACCTGAGGGTTTCAGGGCTCCCTGCCACATAGTGGAAAAAAGTGCTATAGAAAGTTGTTGATTTGTAGGTTCTTTTTTCTTGATGTGAGGATGTGTCAGTGTTGAAGCAGCATTGTCCTTGCCTGGCACTTAAATACAAGTATCTCACATGGGAAAGAGGAGTTGTTTATGGAATCAGGTACTGTACTGTATTTGGGGTGAAATCAGCAAGCAAAAAGTGAATGCGGGATTGTTTGGATATATTGCATCTGCTATTGCAAAAAATGAGGTGATAGACTGAGGTTACAGAGGGAGCATCACATGCTTTAAATGCTCTTTTGTGTTAAAAACAGACACACAAAACTTCCCACATGGATTAGGCAAAAGAACCTACAAATCAGCAACTCCATACAGCACTGGTTGCCACCATGTGGGCTATTTTTTTATTTTTCCATGAGAAACAGTTGTGCAGGTAGAAGGAAAGAGTTTCCAGACAAGGAAGAAAATTTCCTTGCCTCATTCAAGGATATTAGAGAAATCCAGGCTACAGTGTCTTGTATTTATGCTATCTACTCCTTTACTACTGCTTTCCTTTCCTTTTCTCTGCCAGTAAAAAGAATTGTTAAGGAGAAAAAGACATAGCTGAATCGCATATTTTTATTGATAGTACTAGAAACCTTCTATCTAGGGAAAGAGTTTATGTGGTTCTTCTTCTAACTGCTCCTTGGTGTTTCAGATATAACTCACACTGTCCCATCCATATGTCCATTCCTATCTGCTGTCTGCAACAGTACAGCCTCCCTTTCTACTGCACTGCTTTGGGTCATGCGTCAAAGAGCCTTTCTCTCAAGCTGTATTGTCTAGCCTTCCTGCACTCTTCCCTTAAAGCCAGCCACTTCAGCAAAACCTTCCCAGGCGTGATGCAGCCTCTTTGCTACCTGCACTTCCTTTCTCAACTGCCTTGCACCCTTTTCTCCTTCCCAGTTTCTATAGCAAAACCCTGATCACTCTCTGCTCTCTCTCCTGGCTGCACTGTGTGCCCACTTTCTGAGCCCTGTAAAGCCTTGGAGTTGAGGAGGGAGAGGCATCCTGAAATGTCTATATTTCAGAGCATCCTTAATCAAAGTGAAGGGGGAATTGCATGCCCAGCTCAATCTGCGCAGCCAGGGTGAGCTGTTGAGATGGCACAATGCCCTTTAGGGGTCAAAGAAGTAAGGCTTTTGCTCATGGAACATTTAGTGGCCCTCTGAGGTCTCCTGCCATCTTCTGTCCAGAGCCCTGCTGTGACCTCCCATCCTGCTCACTCCCAGGCTGCCTCTGTCTCAAGCTTGGGGAGGGGCTGTCTGCAAGGGAGGGCTCCCTTTGTCAGCATAAGCTGCTGGTGTGTGCCAGGTTCCCATGCCCCAGTGGGCGGTGCGAGTGCCAGCTCAGGGCAGCTATTGAGAGGTGTCTGAATAGGGAAGGATGGGCTCTGGACCTGCCTTTCAGCCTTGACTTTTAGACTTTACAAAGGAGTCAATGCAGGCGGGAGGCACAGAACTGCGAACTGCATACAAAATGTCTCTATGGGAATGGAGTGGGGAGTGGGGAAGGCTCTGCCCTACATGCTAAGCAGCTGTTGGGCAGAGAGCAGTTCATCTTCTCCATCCCACCTGGGAGATGCTGCCTTGCCCCCCTCCCCAACTATAGCCAGATCCTTTAGTGCCATTAAGCGAAGGTTAGCCTTCCTAACCTAGCAGCTCCACTGGGCTTTGACTCTATGTCCCATCATGCCAGTCATGCTAGCACATGAACGGACTGGATAAGATTATGGAAGATGATGCTGAAGCACATCTTGAGGTTGCCAGGTTAAGGAAAGCTAGCCTCAGCAGATCTGGCTATGATTTCTGCCAGTCCTGTGTTCTGATGCTCATATTTGCTGGGCTTTTGGAACAGAAGTAACCAGCTGGGATATTATATCATTTGTCTCTCTACGTAGTAAAAGATAAACACCTCCTTGCCTTATGCCCTCCAGGGAAATGCAAGATGCTGACCTAGAGGAATATTTGGACTTCCAGATGATGTGGAATTCAGGTTCCCATAATCCCTTACCACTGGCCATGCTGTCAGGGACTGGTGGGAGATATAATCCAAAAAATTGGGAGCACTGAGCCTTTAATCACTCCTGCCATAGCCTAGCATCCTGTCTTTGACTGCAGGATGTTGGGGGGTATCCATCTTTTAGTCCATCCCCTAAACATGGTACAAAGAGGTGTGATGTTCTTGAAAGTGGAAAGTATGCTTCCAACTGTCCTTACTGTCTTATATAATTGCCCAGTCTTCATTTATTTACCTAACTCTTTTTCTGTGCTGCTGGCCATCGCAGCCTTCTGTGACAGTGAGTTCCATAGGCCAGTTATGATATCAGTGGTCAGATTTGAATTCCTAAAGAATTCTGAGGCCAGAGGAACGCTGTCTGTGCTTAAGAAGTTGCTGCATTCATAGAATCGTTTTAGCTCTGAATTTGCATTTCTGGGATGCCTGCAATTTTCCTTCCCTACTCTTTCAGGGCCATAAGTCTCTTTTTCTATATTGTCCTGATCTTCTTAACCGCTGAATATACTTTGTGTGTCAGATACCGTTGTGCTGTGCATGCACTTCCTGGCCTAATCTGTCTACTCCAGAGCCTTGTGTGCACTGCTAATTATACCTATGCCCTTCTTGATGTCTTGGCAAGAAAACACAAGAGGATTGTAGGGAGAGGACATCTGGAAATCCCACGAATAGGCAAGGCATTTGTGTGATGGGAGCCTCATCTAGAATTTTGTCAGGCCAGTGGTACATGAGGCCGCCAAACTCTACATAGCTTTATGTTTAGGGATGGGGAAAAATCCTTTTTTAGATTACAGATCCAAGAATTCCCTAACCCACATGGGAAGTGGCCGTGTGGTCTAGGTGACTCTGCTTCTAATAAAGATTCTGCTTTTGTTAGAAGAAAACAAAGCAAAAATGATAACTCTTTCAAGCTGCTTCCAGGCTGTCCTCTTATTCTTTGTCCATCACTGTGTAAGCACTTGTTACAAAGCAGCTGATGAATTGAAACTTGAGCCTAAGATCTGGATGTGGCTTTGACCATTCAGTCATCCTCCTTCAGTAACAGGATATCACTGGCATGGAGACTGATGTTATTATTGTCTCTGACTTGTAATGTAAATGTGTTTTCTCACTGGATAGAAGACACTTCTGTCATCTCCCCCAATTAAGAAAAGAAGAACCTGTGGCTTTTCAGAGGTCAGTGCATGACAACTCCCTCAGTTTTAGTCATTTAGCTGATGGAAACTGGGGTCCAACAAGATTTTAGAGGGCCATGGGTTCTCTATCTTGAATTGGGATGAAATTTCCCCAGTTTTGTATTTATTTATTTATTATTTGATTTCTACCCCGTTCATTCTTTAGCTTTGGATAGCTTGCTGTTCTCAGTCTCAGCCTCCCATTCAGAAAAAAGGGAACAGTGTACCTGCTCGTGATGGTGAAATTACAAGAAAGGATTGCAAAGCAGTTCATTGGGGGGGAAGAATGAAATGAAATGCATTGATGATATGCAATAGTAGTTGTAAGGTCAAGGTTGCCTATCCTCATCTTGCCTCGTCGACCCCCTTCACGTCTTGGCTGCCCTGTCTTGTCCAAAAGTCTAATTTCTACCTGGACCTGGGAACGAGAGTAGCTTAACACCCTCCACCATTTACTGGGCAAAGCAAGATGAGATGGGGAGGAGGTGGATTCCACATACAACTCTCCCCCCCATGTAGAAGGAATGAAAGGCAAAGGAGGGACACTCCCGGATGGGGTCACCCACCCTGCCAGTTAGGATTACCCAGCAAAGTGCCGCTGGCGAGGAACAAACAAGGAGCTTTTGTATGCCTTGCCTGGTCTCCCAGCAGCCCGGCAGGGTGGAGGGTGGGATCTTTGTTGCTTGGAAAAAGGATAAAGGAAACAAGGAGACTCCATCACTGTCTCTCCGAGGAAAGGGAAAGTATGGGTTTCTGGGACAGGATGAGTAGAAAGGTATACAAGCTCCGCTCCTCCAAAAAAAAAAAAAACATCCCATTAAAGGTGACTTTCAGAGAACAGAGAACAGGAAAGTAGAACCCACCCCATAGTATGGAGCTTACTG